ATGACACACTCAGCCAGTCAGGAGACACTATGGGGCAACAGCTCCCCACAACACTCCTAGGTTATGTCTACACTAGCTCGGTAGTTCAAGCTAGGTAGGCAAATGAGGGCAACTGGAGTTGCAAATGAAGCCTGGGATTTAAATATCCTGGGCTTCATTTGCATCTTCCCAGGCGCTGCCATTTTTATATCCCCCTTAGTCCGAACTCCGTGCCCGCGGCTACATGCGGCACGGAGTTAGGCAGTTAGAATTAGGATCTCTACTTCAAACTATCAGTACTCCTCGTGAAATGAGGTGTACCGGTAGTTCGACTTAGAGATCCTAATTCAAACTACCTAACTCCGTGCCACATGTAGCCGCGGGCACGGAGTTCGGACTAAGGGGGATATAAAAATGGCAGCGCCTGGGAAGATGCAAATGAAGCCCAGGATATTTAAATCCCAGGCTTCATTTGCAACTCCAGTTGCCCTCATTTGCCTACCTAGCTCGAACTACCTAGCTAGTGTAGACATACCCCTACTGCCTTCTTTCTTAGCAAGCATGTTGCACACTATTGGTGCTATAACAAATAACGATGCAAAAACAAATGGATTTGTTGCAGAAATGCAAAAACAAATGGATTTGCTGAGCATGCAGTTTAATCCTAGATCAGTGTTTGTCAAAGTGGGCCTGAGGCCCACTTTGAGAAATCTGCTAATGGACCACTCCGGTTTGTTTATCTGTAGCCACAGAGCCTCGCGGCCTGAGGGCCACTTTGAGAAACACTGTCCTAGATGGAAATTGCAATATGTGACACTGCTTGTTTGAGTAAATAGATTTAATAGTCCAATTGCCCAGGACTAATAAACACAAATACACCTAACATTTTGTAACGAAACTTCGATTTTACATACCAGTTAGAAACAGTTTGTAATAACTATACCTCACTTCACTTGTAACTTCTGCTTTAGGCTGTGCTTTTTCTTTTTCTGTAGCTGCCTCTGGGCTTTTGGGTACAGGAGAAAAAGCAGGGATTGAAACTTGCAAGATGCTGGTGTGAATCTGTAGTGAATTCTAAAAAAGAAAGGACACATTGTTACAGCGGCCAAAATGACACAAACACTGAATGAAGAAAGAATCAAATAGGTCAGTGACAAAATAAAAGTCTGGGCACCTGGTATGATTTATTTTCTTTTTTACTATAAACATATTTTAGTGCTTATAAAGATGGGCCAATGTTGTTGATATACAGAGAAAGTATAATAGGATGGATAAAAGCTGCATAAGCCGCTTGACGCTGCCTGCTCAATGTATCTCTCCCATGAGGAAGCCAGAGCCGAGGGACCCTGAGCCAGGAGAGGACTCGACAGCCATAGAGGCTTGCAGCCAGGAGCTGTTTTGTAACCCTTGAAGAGCCGAGCCACTGGCAGCCCTCTGAAACCGCGGATGACACAACTGGTAAGGGGTTGGGAAAGCACTCAAGCGCAGGAGTTGCTGGGTTGTGAAGTGATGAACCACGGAACACTGGGACAGGACCCAGGATGTCTCAGGCCTCCCCACAAACCTCTGCAGCAGAGGAGGAAGAGGTGCTGCTTCCAGAATGCCCTGCTCCCAAAGAAGCTGCAAGTGCCTTGCATGTGACCATGCTAACATACTGGCAGCTGACAGTGTGGACACCTAACAGCATTTTCGCTGTGGACTCCATGAGCGGCGCTCTAACTGCCAGCGCTTTACATATTCCTGTGTAGACATGGCCTAAAATTTAAAGATAAAAACACTACCTGGAAAAGTCCTATGGAACTGAATAGAAAACTGTAACTTTCCAATAGGCCTTTTGAAATATCATTTAGAATTAGATAGAAAATTATATGCTAGTTCTTCCATTCAACGTTCAAAAAATCCTGTACAAAATTATTTTCCGGTACATTTTACATGGATTTTTAAAAAGTAATTTCTCTACATCCTATTTAATATCTACATAATGTTAATTGTTTAATTCACTTTATGCACTTGTGTAAATCCATCCCTGGAAACCCTTAAGTAGATGATTAATGTATACATATGCTTAAGTCCCATTAAATGTAATTTCAATGGGCAGTGACCATGTGTTTAAGTGATTTGCTGAACTGAGGCCCAGAGAGGCACACTATATATAAACTAATAAAAGATGAGAGAAAATTGTACATTTAGTTTTTATTATCTCAGATATTAGCAAACACAAGAAACGGTTTAAATACATGATGTATAACAGGAGAGCACCAGGTCAGCTAAATAGATCCCCATTATTTTACAATGCAAGACATGTTTGTGAAGAAAACTACTGGTAGAAAGCAGCGGGGTTTCTCCACCATCCTCACCTGCTGTCTCTTGTCTTACACTTAAAATCCCAAACCCTTTGGGACAGGGATTTGGGCTGGCTTTGTATAGCCTTTAGTGGACTGGGATACCAGAATAGGACTAGGGCTTCTAGATGCTACAGTAACACATTTCGACCATTGTTCTCAATTTCTTTAAGCATCAAGAAAACAATGTATGAATATATAAATTCAACCCACGGGCTTTGTCTACACTGCAGGGTTTTTGGGCAAGAAGCTTTTTGAGGAAGAGATCTTCTGCAAAAACGTCTTGAAAAGCGCATCACAAAAGCAATGTGCTTTTGCGCAAGAAAGCATCCACACTGTATGGGCGCTCTTGTGCAAGAAAGTTCTGATTGCCATTAGCAGAATGGCCATCAGAGCACCTGTGCTTTTTCTGATAGGCTCTTTTTGCGCAAGAAATCCCTGCAGAGCGTCCACAGCTGCCTTTTTGTGCAAGAGCTGTAGCGCAAAAAGGAGTTATTCCTCATGGGGAGAGGAGTAACTCTACCAGCAAAAGCCCTCTGTTCTGTCGATTTACTGTTTTTTGGGTTTTTTTTTGTGTGCAAACATACTTGAGGTGTGGACACTCCACCAGTTTTTGTGAAAAAATATTTGTAGTGTCGACACAGCGATGGAGTAAGACATCCTATTCCAAGTTGCTCAGAGCCTTTCAGAAGGCAGAAGCACCAGACTTGGAAATACACTCAATAAAAACTAGGGTCTTCACCCCATAATACTTACACAAATAAGTAACTTTTCACATGAGTGGTCTCACAGATGTCAACAAGGTTACTTACACTTATGTTACTTGCATGTGTGTCTGATAAGATGTTCTCAACCATTTAAAATGTGCTAATATAAGCAAGTTAAGAAATGAATACTAGAACAATTATTCAAATTTAAGCACAAGCCAAGACAACTTGCATGTTCTAAGACCGGTTCTTTAAAAAAAAGTGGATTGGAGTACTGAGAGGAAAGAAGTATAAACAGATACCCAGGAAGAGAAAGACTGAAGAGTACCAAAGATAAGAACATCAGAAAGGCCACATGGGGGTCAGACAAAGGTCTATCTAGCCCAGTATCTTGTCTTCCAACAGTGGCCAATGCCTCAGAGGGAAGGACTAAAACAGGTCATCGTCAAGTGATCCATCCCCTGTCATTCATTCCTAGATTCTGGCAAACAGAGCCTAGGGACTAGGGATGTAATAGTGTAGCAATTAACTAAGTGATAAGCAAAAGCTTATCGGTTAATGCTACAGACTACATGCATTCCCCTCTCCCCTCCCCTCCCCGCCCCCTTGCCAGTTAATTTTTTTGCAGGTTGCCAGCAGCCCAGCTCAGTCCTGTCTTGCGCAGGGTCTAGGACCTGCTCCTGCAGCAGTTGTGCATTTAAAGTGAGGCAGCAGTGCGGAGTGGCAGGGGGCTCCTCGGGAGTGGGGCCAGGGAGCACTGGCTGCCCACCCCAACCCCAGGGACTATAGAATAGTTGAGTAACTGATAAAAATTCATGAGGTTAATCGATTATTCAAATAACTAATATTTAACATCCCTACTAGGGACACCATCCCAGCCCATCCTGGCTAATTTATCTAGTTCTTTTTTTTTTTTAAATCCTGTTGTATCTTTGACCTTTACGTCATCCTGTGGCAAAGAATTCCAAAGACTATGTTGTGTGAAGAAATGCTTCCTTTTAAAATGGAGCAATTCAGAGAAGAATTCATCATGTTATCTCAGGGTAAGATAATACCTGGCACTATATATATAACCGTCCTGATACGGTGCTCTTTCTTAGTGCCCAATCCTGCACTTCATGTTCACCTGGATTGCCAGCTGAAGAAATGCAGGGCCTTGCCCTAGGTTTAAAGGGGCACCATCATCAACTTAAAATAATCTCACTTCTCTGAAATTTTTTGAACCACTTGTTACTAGGTACCCTGTGGGGAAGGACGGAAAAGGGAGAAGCCAGGAAAGGAGACAGCACGTTTCAGTTTGCTTAGTTCATTTTCAGTGGTTTTCTCTGTATAATTAATTAGTTCCTCATTTTGCATGAGTGCTTTGAGAGGAGAGAGAAACATTTTAAATTTAGGAAAACACGCTTGCAAAATCAAAAGCATGTTAGCATGGGGCAGATCAGAAAATACTTGCAACTCATTTTTGGAAATGGACAAGACTCCAAGTTTTCACTACATGCATCTGACGAAGTGGGTCTTTGCCCACGAAAGCTTATGCTCCTACACTTCAGTTAGTCTATAAGATGCCACAGGACTCCTCGCCGCTTTTGCAGATTCAGACTACCACGGCTACCCCTCTGATACTGGACAAGTTTTCACAGAATACTTGAACTGGGAGAGAGCTAGAGTGGACATCAAGTCCAGTCCCCTGCCCTCATAGCAGGACCAAGCACCATTTAGACCATCCCCAACTGTGTTCCTTAAAATATATACTGCAGTATATTTAAACTGATTTTGAATAGTTTCAGTTTATTTCAGATAACTGAAAATAAGCTTTTAAATAAGATTTTATATGACATCGTCCTAGAAACTTCTTATATTTGACATTAAAATAATTTCTGGACATTTTAATTCAAATGAATTTGTGTGTGTGTTTACAAATTTGGGGTTGGTGGCTTTCACATAAATTCTATACACACAAGGACTTTCTAAACCAAATGAGGAAGTTTTACTCAAACTTTCTAACATGCGAGAACATTTAATGAAGCAGGGAGCTGGTTTCTGTAATACAACTACAGCATGACTAACATTATCAAGTAGTGATACTCATAGAAAATATAGAAAAATACCTCTTCAGGAACACTGGTATTAAATACTTCATGGCTCGGAGACCCGATTACTGGAACAGGAGATGGGCTTTTCTCTTGATCAATTAAACTCTGCATGTCCAATAAAACCGCTGAAACAGATCCTGGATTTAAAAATTCTTCACATTCGCCTTCTTTGCCTAATGGAAGAGAGATACAAATGGACTGGCTTTAGTTTAGTATATCTGAGAATTGTTCTCCTGGAGGATAAAGCCAGTACTTTTATTTATGGGCTCAATAGAACAACAGGGTAGGGATGACAGAGACAGGAGGAGACACGGTGTAAGGTTGGGATGGCTGGCTTCTTCTTTAACCACTTCCTGACTGGCACTGTGATTTCCCAACAGAGTTTAAAGTAAAACTCCAACAATTAAAAAAACATTATCTGTGGTTAACAGCAGGAGCTCCAATTCCAGCCACAACACCGGACATTAGTATGGATACCCGATAGGCAGCTGTAGGATTGTTTTTTGTTGCAGTGCCCATACAACAAAAGGCAAATGAAGTTTCACACTGTGAGGCAGATCTTTAACCATTGTAATTCAGTATAACTACACTGACTTTAATGGTGTTATGACAGCTTCCATCTGATGATCTGGCCCTATGAATCCCTATCTGGAATTTGGACAATGTTAGGCAGAAACCCTGCACAATGATAAGCCAACTGGTGTTTTTTGTTTCATTTAATGTTGTTTTTAATCCAAGAGGGTTGCATTTTATGAAAGCCATTGTTTTAAAAATGTTTGGCTTTCCAAAAATGTATGGCTAGTGAACTCCTGAAAGATTTTTTATGGGTTACTTGAGGTTCTTGTGGAACCAGAAAGCATAGCCCTTATTTAAAACGCACTGGGGGAGATGTTTTGCTGTGACACGACGAGGCTGGACACAGAACATTGAGGCTAGTGGAAAGGGGCAAATGGGGGCTTGGTGTCCTTCCAATTCTGGGCTACTGTGGAGGCCACTGTGGTCCCTGGAGTAAGCTAGCCCTGAAGGGCTGCCTGTTTCTAGGTGCTTATGTTAGCAGCGCTGCCTGGAATTCCCACAGTGCTTCCTGGTTGCCTGTGCTTTTCCTGTGCCTGTCCTCTCTCATATATATCCAAAGCAGGGCTTATAGTGGGGCTCACATGAGGCCGTGTAAAAGCCAGCTCATGCAAAGCCTGAGCTGGGGAAAACTTTTCCTTAGCTGGGTCCAATTGTCTAATGACTCATTTACACAACTGTGACAGCAGCAAAGGGCACAGTAGACAGGAGCATCCTGCTCACACAATTATACTTAATTACAATAGCAGAAACCTACTCCCTGCACATGAGCATTTCAGTGGGTTCCTTTTCAACATGTTGAACATTCTTTGAGCTCATTAATGTATCAAACCCCAAAACACTGCACAGAGATGTTTCTTTCCCATCATTATTGAACCAAAAGGGATCAGATATATTCGCCTCCAATGTAAGATGAAGAATCAAAATTGGTCTCTGCTGTGCAATTTGAGTCATCCGTAGGGAAAATGGTGAATAATGCTCAGAGCAGTAAATAACTGGAAAAAGAACAGTCAAAATCAATTACTGTGCTAGCTTTTTAATAAGAAAAAAAATCTGACAATTTGTACTGTGCCACAAATCAATGGGGCTTCATTTTGCCAATTCCCTGCCATGTTAGACTTTATATATTCAGCTTTCACTGATAGCACTGCCATTCTTTAACTGGTTCAGTAATGTTGAAAGGTATAGATTTCTACACTTCAGATCAATACCTAAAATACCACATGACTGAAAATGACAAGAAAAAGCAATGAGGCAGTCACAACCCTATGTTTCTAGCACCTAAAATTAATTATGAAAGTAAAATTTCAACCTTCCTGCCCCTTTTTCTCTAGCTGAAAAAAAAAAGTGAACTGTGAAGCTTACAAGAGGAAAAACAGACTTTTATCATTTCCTGTGGCATGTAGATTGTCACAAATGAACACACTGAACCTTGGTTTTAAAATCACCATCTCTCTCTCCATACTAAATAGGTTGCTCTGTCCTACCAACCTTTGATCTTTTCATGCAAGTGCTCAAACTTCCTGACGTAGGTATACAGAGTTTGCATAGAGGGATGTGCAAGCTAGGGGTCTAATGACACCACCATGAGGAGCTGAGTACACTCAGCTCCAGGAAAGATCATGCTCATGCATCCTGATCCAAAGCTCCCTGAAATCAATGGAGTGGGCCTTGACCACTTTCAAAATTCTTGGCGTGCCTCCCCACCCCCGAAAAAAATTATTGCCCACCCCGTGCGACATTGATTTGGCTCGTCTACAGACTTTGATCACAGTTTTGATCACAGACTGTCCCAGACCACAGTTTCAGAGATTCCCTTGATCCAGTCCTGACTCTATGGCTGGCTTCAACCCTTGGTGCCCATTCTTGGCCACAGCTCCAAACTACTATGCCTCACCTGCCTAGAACCCAGAGTCTGACATATTGTCCTTAACTTTATTGGCCATTTAGTGCTTCCCTTATCAATTTTCTACAATTCCTAACTTCTGATTTGTATTCATTATTATAAACTTCCTCTTTCGTCCATTTGCTTTATATAGAATTATTTTCTATAGCTGCCTTCACTTCCCTTTTAAACCAGGTATTTTTTTTTAAACCAACATGGCCGCCTTCTGCAATTGTGGCTTTTTGTGCATCTAATATAGTGCCTCAAATGACTCAAAAATTATCATTCATATTTTTCTGACTAATCTGTTACTCTCAGCTGATCTGGCTCATAATTGTTTTCACCTTTGTGAAACTGGGCCTATTAAAACCGTATGTGTATCAATCACTGGTCTGGACTTTACTCTGCACATGATAAATACGATTAAAATCATCACTTGTGTCTAACACGTAGAAAGTGATGAACTTCTTCCCCCCTCTGTTTGCTGTTCAGACCACACAGAGGAACTGTCAGGGACTGAAAAACTTGAACCCTCCACTGACGAGTTAGCTAATCTGCCCTCTGTCCACCGTCAACCTTCACTCCTTGAGAGTCTTAGAGGGGCCTTCTAAGTCCCAACCTCCAGCAATCTCAGAAATCTCCAATTTTTGTAAGCCTTAGGACAGGGATGGGCAATAATTTTTGACGGGGGCCACTCCAAGATTTTGGAAAGTGGTTGAGGGCCGCACTCTTCCAGGATATTAATGGGGAATTCTGAGGTCTGGAGTGCAAGTTGGTTGCAGAAGGGAGCTTGGAGTAAGGGACTGGGGTGCAGAAGGGAGAATGGGGTCTGGGAGGGAGTTTGGGTGAAAAAGGTACTTGTGACCCAGGTCAGGGGACTGGGAGGCAGGATTTTGGGATGTGACCTAGGGTAGGAGGGGATTGTGATCTTGGGCAGGAAATTGGGGTGCTAGATCTGGGAGGGGGTATGGGTGCAGGAGAGGGCAGAGAGTTTAGGAATGTAGAGGGAAGGCAGAGGATTGTGTGGGGAGGAGCTGGGGTGCCAGAGGCAGGCTCTGGCTGGGAGACACTTACCAGCAGAAACCTGAGGCAGACAGTCTACTGCACACTGCTCCATATGGCTCTGCTCCAGGCATGAGAGGTAGCGGGAGGGGGTCGAGGAGGAAGGGAGAAGGCTTCCTACATAGCCCCTGCTCCAAGCAAAAATTCTCAGCTCCTATTGGCCAATGGGAGCTGAGAGATTTTGTTGGGGGGGCAGGAAATCATAAGAAGTTTCCCTTCTCCCTCTCCAGCCATCCAGAATGGAGAACGGCTGACTCTAACGCGTGAGCTGTTCTCAGCCTAAGGGTTCCGGCTGCCTGCTGGCAGCCTCTTGCCCACTCCTGCCTTAGGATCAAGGGTCACCTACAGTGTCAATTCACATCTGTCCTTCCCACCACCTTTAGCAAGCCAAACAGCCAAGTCAGTTCTCAGTCTTGTGGAGGTCTGGCCCTGCAATCCTTCCAAAGGTTCATAGTGACAAAGGTAATTCAGTAGGGCACGTCACTATGCTTCTTCCATAAGGCTTGCAATCTGCATTCCCTCAAACTTTCCTGAAAACATGTTAGGCAGCCTTCAAGTTGGTAAAATGCCAATCTCTATTTTAATAGTTACTGGCCAAGCCTAAATCCTTTAGGAATACTTGTGCAGAGAGCCTGCGGGAGACACAACATGTGACTGTGTAATTAAAGACTGCATAATAACACACATGCACCAGGAGGTTAAATTAAAATTGTATAGATACTCTTCACCCTCTAGCATTGTCTAACTTTTTGAGTATTTGATTAGAAAACCTGACTAACCCTTTTGAGGCACAGAATTTACCATTTGAGCTATGGGACTGAGGACATTATCTGGCAGTAGAGAAATCTGAGATAACAGAGGTGAGAAGACCATAGGTACCATGTAGTGGCTCTAATGGGGAGCCTGGCCCAGCCTGGTTCCTTCTCCCTTCCTATCCCACAAAAGAGGTTGGGCGGGGGGCTCTTGTTCTAAGTCATGTCCTCCACAGAAAGGGTATGATCCCGAGGCCACATGCTGGCTCCAGAGGATGGGATGAAGACAGACTGAGCCCAAACTTGGTTTTCTCCTGCCCGTTACCTAGTGCTGGGGGAGGGGGAGCGAGAAGGGGTCTCAAAATTCTACTGTACTGAGACTCCCTTCAGACAAAAAAGTGAGGGGGGACTGAAGCCCGAGCCCACCTGAGCACTACCACCCCAAGTAGCCCCAGCTAAGTGCTTCTGCCCCAGGCAGGGGGCTCTAATCTGAGCCCGACTCCCAGGGCTAAAATCCCTCAGGCTTCAGATTCAACCCCAGGTCAAGGCCAGCCCTAGCGACCCCAGTAAAATGAGGCCATGACCACTTTTGGGGATCTGACCCCCCGTTTGAGAACCGCTTGCCTATTGCGACTGTTGCTCCGGCAGCCTGCAAACATTCCAAGTGCAGCGTGTGACGGAGGCTGCTGCGGCCGTAGTGGGAACTCAGTTCCCTAGAACGTTCATATCCAGCTATTATTTTGGCTGGCTGCCAATTCTCCCCCAGGATACATGCAAAAGAGAATGGCTGTTTTAAACATCTATGGGATTTTGTGGGACAAAGTAAAGGAACTTCTCTAGCCCAAGGACTTTCCCCTTTCTGAATTTCAAAGGCCTGTAGCAATCAAGGGAAGTGACAGAGCCTTTAAAAGTGGGGTGGGGAGTCATTTTAAAAATGGAAAGTATTGGGGAATCTAAATTTTAAAAGTCACTACCTGATCTCTATATAATCATCAAGGCTAGTTCCTTCAGGTGTTAATTGGTGTAACTGCATTGTCTGCAATAAAACTATGAGAATTTATACCATCTGTGGAATTGGCACTTAATATACTCTCACGTGGAAAGATAACAAGTCCAAGAGTTAAATATCTAATGGTACCACAGTAGGTGTGCAGTTGAAATGTAAGCAAAATGGAAAATCTTGGCATTTGTGCTGTACCTTTTTTACCCTGAGCCATTACCACATCTTGCACTTTCTTATACCGATTCAGGGATTGTCGCAGCTCTTCTATCTTCCTATCCTAAAATAAAGAAAGGATCCATCATGAAGAGTCAAAAATATGAAATAAAAGCCTAAATAAATTAAAACTGTTTAACTGATTTAAGGAAACTAAAGGTGATAAAAACTCAACACTTGAATAGTGTAGGAAATTCAAACTTGGATCTATATTCGGTGAAAGCTGGTTTCTGTAATAAGGACATAACCAAAATGCAGAGGATTCAAATATACCTAAACTTTAAGGTGGATCTCAAATTTTGCAGGTTCCCCACCTCCAAAAGAAAAGGAAATCACATATCTTCTGCCCTTTTTATTAAAGAAAAGGATATTCAAACTACAAATTCACCAGAGACATCTGGAAAATTTACACAAACACACAAAAAACAATATGTTCATGTGCGAATAGTGAGCATCCACATTTTACAGCTGCTACCTACTTTATTGAATGTTCCTTTTCAAATCTGGCCCATAACTACTCTTGAAACTTATATGTAGATCTTTACATTTTCTGGCACTTTATGAGATCTGTCTTGAGCCACAAACCTTACTCATGGAAGGAGTTCCACTGAATTCAATGGCACTACTTGTGTGAGTAAGGATTACTTGCATGGCCAACTTTTGCATATAAGTGCCTATTTATTGTCCCATTAGAAGCATTTGCAACACACCTATTGTCTTAATTGAGAACAGAATTGGACCCTTATTGATTAATCTTCAAAATGAACTGTAACAATTTACATGATGCACATGTGCTGATTGCACTACAGGTGTAACTTCATATAACTTAATCAATGATTGTTTGGCTACCTTTTCTTCATTCGCTGCCATTAGAGACTCCACGGCCCTCTTCATTTTCTGTACCTCTATATCTAAAAATACAAAGTACACGTAAGATTAAATAAATAAGTGGAACAAAACTTCCTGACAATTTCTGAAGCTATGTTTACAAGAAACAAACAAAATGCAAACCACTACAATTATTTTGATCTGAAATGGAAAGCAAGAAAAAGATTCAGAACATTCTCTCTGTTGAAGCAACTTTCAATAACTAAATGACAGAATTTAGCAAATATTCATATCCTAAACAATTCTAAGAAAACTGCTAAAACAATGAATGATGCCTTTTCTGTGCTATTTCTATTCTTTATATAATGGAATAATGATAAATAAGAGCTCCAAAATAAAAACATTACAACCAGAGTACAATACAACAGTCCATTATGGTAAAAGCCAAACATTCCACAGGCCATATCATCAACCCAGCTATACAAAGCAATGGAATTAAGCAATGGATTGTGGACATGGTAAGAAAAGCATTGTGTCATGAGACTTAGTCATAACCCAGAATGGATGTAGATATGAGAACAGCATGATGGAATGGCATATCTTATTCACTGTGATGAGCAATCATGCTAGAATGTGTGCTGTAGTTTAGATTTGGAAAACAATCCTTAAAACAGAGATGAGTACAAATTGTGCTTCATCTATAATCCTCACTTACAAAATATGTAAATGCCATTGTTTACTTTGGCAATCAAAGAGGATTTTTTAATTTGGTGTTTTTAAGAGGTAGTGATGTTATTTTCTTCTATTAGAAATCTACCTATTTTGAATGAGTAAATGAAGCTTCAAAATTAATAATGTTACACATGTAAAAAAGTGATCAAAAGCTTGAGCAAACAAAAATTCTGCTTTGTAACATCACAGATTAGTGTTTTAACCTGCTACTGGTTATCACACACCAACAAAGATAACCAAGATTTACGGACAAGAGAGTGAAAAAATTTGGCCACAGCAAAACAGAAGACCAAATGAAGATATACAAACTACATCATCCTGTGAAAGACCGGCTCACCACATAAATATAGCTGTTTAAAGTTAGATATACAAATTCTCTGCATCTCCACTGATTTCCATCAAGTTATGCCAGCGGTGGAAAATTTGGCCTAGTGCATTGTGACTGCACTTGACACAGAGGGACACTTTATGTATATGTGCCTTTATGAAGAAAAATCTATTCATTCAACCACCTGTAAAAGTACTTCTTAGTAGGATCAATTTAATTTCTTACAGGCCTTTCTATAACAAGTCTTATCTAGCAGGCCCGTAAAGCACCCAGAAATGAGCAGGCTCCCTTCTGACAGGCTGCTTCAGGAAACCACACCAAAGATTGTGTTTACTGGATTTCAATAAAAAGATTGATACTAAAAGATTAAAATGTCTCAATGTCTAATAATGTAACTGAGGGTTATAGATGAGGCAACCTAGCAGCTTTTGTTAAAGCAGTTTTTAAAAAAAAAACCACATGCAGAAAGCTATTTTGGACAGAACTTCTGAAGTATAAATGCTTGCGGAAAGACACCAAGAAACCTTACTTTTGTCTTTGAGCTTCTTTTTACAATTTTCATCTGTGCAGGAAAACCCAGTGGATTTGAAATTAGCATACAGGTTATTGACATTAAACACAATTATTCTTATACTGCTGTTACTGTTGGAGTTATCAGTGAATCATTCCTCACGCTCAGATAACAAGAGTAAAACAAACAACATTTACAATTTAAGGATTCAGTTTTACAAATTTGCACATAAAGGCGTCCCTACTCACCTGCTGATGCTAAAGAGAATTACCACATACAGGCAGTCCCCGGGTTACATACAAGATAGGGACTGTAGGTTTGTTCTTAAGTTGAACCTGTATGTAAGTCAGAACCGGCATCCAGATTCAGCCGCTGCTGAAACTAACAAGCGGCTGACTTCAGGAAGCCCGAGGCAGAGTTGCTCTGCCCCAGGCTTCCTGGAATCAGCCGCTGATCAGTTTCAACAGGCTGAATCTGGACGCCAGTTCTTACATACAGGTTCAACTTAAGAACCCCAGGCGTCCCCAAGTCAGCTGCTGCTGAAACTGATCAGCGGCTGATTCCAGGAAGCCCGGGGCAGAGCAACTCTGCCTCTTCCAAAAAAGCTCTTTTGGAAGCGGGCGTGTGTGGACGCTCCACTGCTACTGTATTGAAATAGCCCCTCAGCAGGGCCATTCTAAAGTTATGCCTCCCCGGTGCCTCCTAAGGCTCTAAATCGAGAGAGTGCATCCACATTAGGGTTGGACTAATTTTGAGGATTCTCTATAGTGTGGATGCTCTATTTTGAAATAAACTTCCAGAAATCTTCTGAAATAGCTTTTTCTGAAATAAGCTTGCAGTCTAGATATACCCTTAGTGGTAACAGGGTCATTCACATAAGAGCTCCCTCCTGGATGAGTGGTGGCCCTGACACTGGTCAGATCCATTATACCTTGCTCCTTTCTGGCCCACTGATCCAGTCTTCAGGAAGGCAGGCAGTAAGGGAGCCCTAGCCTGCCGGGATCCCTCTCCTTCCCAACCTACTAGCTCCTTTCTTTGGGCTGGCTGAAATCTAGTATGGAAAGAAGGAGAGCTCAGCTTCACCTGTTGCCTTTTGGAGACCTCTGTGAATTGGAGAGTTTTTTCTTTACCCTCAGCCTACAGAGCCTTAGCTTCACAGGCCAACTACTTCTTGAAAAGCAGCCTCAAACTGGCAGGCTCCTCCTGCGGGAGTGGCAACAGTATCTCCCCTCCCGTAGATCTCTCCTGGAGTGGCACCACAATCTCATGGGCAACGCCCCAGCCGCGCCGCGGCTGTCCCGCTGCCGGCGTCCTCAGAGGCTTTGCTTCCCGTCTCCCTGGTCTGCTGGTCTCCAGCAGACCAGGAAGACGGGCAGCAAACCCCGTTCGTAACTGCGGATCCGACATAAGTCGGATCCGCGTAACTCGGCGACTGCCTGTATACTCAAACATAAGCCTGTTCGTTTATAAGCTGATCCCCCAAACTTAGAGGGAAAAAAATGGTAAAAAGTCACTGAGCCATTTAGAAGCTGACTCCAGAGTACAGTGGTCTAGGACCTTATAAATGGGCCAATGACCTTTTACCACTTTTTTCTCTTAAGTTTTGGGTGTCGGGTCACAGACTGCTGCAGCTCTGCTTTGTAAATGTAAGAGCTACCAGGGTCCCCAGTTTTGCCTTTTAAATGTAGTAAGAGCCTGGAGGTACTTAATACATTTAAAAAGCAGAGCTGCAGTGTCTGGGACCTGGCATGAGCTGGGACTACTGTGTCCCAACTTGCGCCGAGTCCCCCGCTGCCACTCTGCCTTTTTAGAACCTGTTCATAAGCCAACCCCTGCTCTTCAGAATGGGATTCTTTTTCCAAAAAAAGTCAGCTTATGAACGAGTAGATGTGGTACTTTCTAAGGGCTTTGGCACGAGAGTTAATAATATTGGGCCTTATTCAAGGCCTCATATACTTGTCTCATATAGTATTTTCCCCCAACAGAATACTCTTGCTGTACCATGTATCACTGTAGACATGAAATATATTACACTTATACTAGCAACTAACAGCGGATGACAGAATATAATTGTTCAAATAAGCATAAGTCTGTGAACATGGCAGTTAATCTGGAAATATTGCAATTACATTCACTGCAAAAAATGCATTAACATTTTCCGAACACAACAGAACCTTAGTTCATTCACAGTAACACTCAGGACTCCGTGTTGAAAATTACAGCTCAAAACCACAAGTTAATAGGCCTGCGGAAGCTGAGGATGCTCCACAGTCAGCACCCTCCAGGAAAAAGCTCAATATAAGTAATAAATACAATAAAAACTAACATTAGTAAATTAGTAAGCGTACAAACCAAAACTGCAAGGATAATGTATACATTGTATTTTATTCATTTATCTTTGCAAAGGAAGACTAGTTTATTTACAGTGCAATAATACACTGTAGCCAGACAGAACCCTCCCCCCCCCCATCTCATCCATCTTATTTGCCTCTCTGAGGTTCCTGAGGCATACAGGACAGAGAAGGAGCAATAAAATCAGCATAGTCTATGCTGGCTCATCTGATCCTGATCAGCTGAAAACATAGATATGAGGAGAGAACGATTAAGGCAATAAGCTGGCCTCGAGGCTGTGAGAAATGCCCGGCTGGCACCCATGTTGATACGAACTGACAGCCGTCCCTGGGAGAGGAATCCCCCACTGAGAAAAGAATCTCCAGTACTTCCAATTTAATCCTCTCAACTCTCTCTTACAAGTGTAAATTAAGTTCACAACTCCCTTGTAAGAACTGGTCTCACAAAAGACAGACCAGCACTATTTGGCATCACAGATAAGAAAGAGAAATATGTGACCCCATGGGTATAAAGATGGGTACAGCAGCACACTCACTTTTGAGTGTCATTCTACCCTCTACCTGCTGGTCGGGGTAGGTGTTTGACCTCCAGGTTTTATG